AGGGACTGTGGTAGCAAACTGGTGTGGCATGTGTTGGCTGTGACTCTGTGGGAAGGCCTTCCTCAGACTGCTCCTGCCTGCCGAGCTCTGTCACAGCTCCGGTAGGATGTGTGTTCCACACACCCATGCCTGCATGCCAGGTGCTATGTAGCACAGATTCCAGTGTTTGATGGTAGTGTGTTATCATCATTTCTCTGTGCCAGTTGGTACTGTGGCCACCAGCAGAAGCAGCATGCCCAGGTCCCAGAGCAGCCCTGCCCTGCACCATGGAGAAGCTACTAATGTAGTGAGATATTCACTTTGTCCACACCTGTGGCACTGACCACACCCATTGGGGGTGGGGACAGGGGTGTATGTTACCTGGGGGAACTAGGTCTGGGCAAGGGGCACCGGAGTGCGAGCAAGCTCTTGCTTGCAGCACAGGGACAGGGAAGTAAGCTGTAAGAGAATGCCAAGTAGCTGGGGTGGGGGAAGGGAGTGGCATCTGCTGCCTGGGTGAAATGTAATTCCCCAGGTCCCGAAAATCCGGATCACGCTTTTGACACCAGATATTGTTGTTTAATAAGGATCAGGAGAAACAAATAGGGCAAATAGATGTTTATTCAGGAAGAAATAACTTACTACATAGACAGATGAACTCCAGCAGGTTCCTGGTCCCAAGGATTCCTCCAGATGTTCTTCTGTACCTGTGCTGCAAGCAAGAGAGTGTTCTGTTTCCCCAGGTAACATACACCCCTGTCCCTACCCCCAATGGACGTGGTCAGTGCCACAGGTGCAGACAAAGTGAATATCTCACTATACTACTACAGTGATCAAAAGGACAAAACCATGGACTTTTGAGTTACTGATAAGGTTGAATCTTCCTTTTTGGTGTGTGTGTGTGTGTGTGTGTGTGTGTGTGTGTGTGTATGTATTTGGGTATACACACAAATATATGTGCAGGTGCTTGTGCCTATGGAGGCCAGAGAAAAATGATAGATATCCTCTATTGTTCTACATCTTAGTTGTTGAAACTGGGCTTCTCACTGAACTTGAAACTCAACATTTCTAGGTTGGCGGGCTGGAGAAATTCTGAGATCTGCCTTTCTTCATCCTGGTCAGTCCCTCTGCCCCTCTTCCCTCCAAACTCTTGTGAATGCTATGGATTCAAACTCAGGTCCCCTTGCTTGCACAGCAAATGCCCTTACCCACTGAGCCATCTCCACACTCTGGTGGGACAGCTTTCTGATGCTGTGTGAGGCGAATCTCTGCACCCCTCGGAGTGAGCATTCTCAAACCTAGCTGCCCATCTGTGTCAGCTGGGGGTGCTTGTTTTCTGTTTATTTTTGGTGCTGATGCTGGAACCCAGGGCTTTCATGCATGAGAGTGAGTGAGCTACACCCCAGCCTCTGCTTTGTGATTTTAGATAAGCAATTCCCAGAGTCATTCTTGTGTGTTTAAGGGCTGGCGTTGGAACGCTAGACTCCATGTCTTCAGGAGCCTCCATGTACAAACTGCGTTGGATTCTGCCTCAGTATCTTTTTCTGTCACTGTGATGGAATGCCCTGACCAAAGCAACTCAAGGGAGAAAGGACTTATTTTAGCTGACACTCCACAGGGCTGTCCATCAGGCGCCAGGAGCTTGAGGCAGGGGGCTGGCATTGCATGTGCAGTCTAGAAAGCTGAGTGATGAACTCATGCTCAACTACTGATCAGGCCTCTTGCTCCATTTTATACAGTCCAGGATGGTATGCTCAGAGAATGATCCTGTCCATAATTACAGCAAATCTCCCCATGTCAGCTAACATAATCATGGAAATACTGTGCAGGCATGCCCAGAGACCTGTGGCCTGTCAGTTTGGCAGCTTTGATGAGCCTCCACTTTATGTCTGTGAAGACAGATGCCTAACTTGAGCTGGGCATGATGGGACATCATGTAATCCCAGCATGTGGGAGACTGAGGTAGAGATTTCAAATTGGTAGCCTGGGCTTTATAATATACCCTGTGGGGAAGCATCTCTATTTTAGAGATGTTTTCCTTGGCAGGAAGAGAGAAGGAAGGCCATAGTTCCAGAGACAGAGGGTCATAGCCCACAGTGAGTGACAATGGGTGGGGTGACTAGTGGATATTTGAACATCATTATGGATGAAGTTTTTAGCTGGACATGGTAACACATCTGTGGTTCCAGCACTTGCTGGGTAGAAACAGGAGGGTCAGGGTTTCAAGAGCAGCCTGGCTATGTGAGATTCTGTCCAAAAAAGTCTTCCCCATCTGTGTGTGTCAGGGAGTTACATGTGTACATATACATGCTTGCATGTTTGCATGTTTGTGAAGGGAACTGCCATGATGCCTGCAGGCCCGAGTTTGATTCCTGGAATCAAATAAGAGAATCGATTCTCATACATTGTCCTCTGGTCTCAATGCACAGGCAGTGGCCTGTGTGTCTCCTTCTAATAAATAAATAATTTTTTTAAAGCAGCGTAGGTAGAGAGGGTGGCATGCGCTGAGCACACTAGCTCTGCAGTAACGGCATCTGTGTTATTTTCACTTAATATTTTCCCCACGCATTCGAATTCCTCTCCCACCATCTTTTTGCATCTGCAGGGTTCTCTTGTGCAATGCTGTCAGCCTGTACTCATCTCCTGTTCCCTACACATGACACACCATCGGCAGCAAAGGATGGTGCCATGCACTTCTTAAGTCCCCCGGGTCCCTGTCACTTCTCAGAGGTTGCATTCTCCTTCCAGTGATAAAGGACCCCACCAATACCCGCTGTCAGCCTCATTTCCTTAAGGCTCCTTTCCCATCGCATCCCTCTTGTGCTCACAACTCCCCCGGGCTCTGCTTCCTGCAGGTTAGGCAGAACCATATCCTGGCATTCAGAGTCCTCCAGTGACCCTGCTACTGCTCCTCATCCTCCTCCCATCAACCTCTTAGGTGTCACTGCTGCTGCCCCGGTACTGCCTAAACTCACCTCCCTCTCCCCACTCGTGGCCCAGGTCACTCACCTTCCCTTCTGTAACTCTGCAAAGGCCTTCAATCTTCCCAGTGGAGTATGAGTGCCTGCAGTACTTCAGGCTGCAAGGGCAGGACTCTGTTAGTGCCTGAAGTAGCCTACACAGACTTGCAAGGGGTATGACTTTGCCTCATCACCCAGAAAGGAGAGCCATCAGCCACCATGTGCCCCTGCTGGACTGCCCACTCTGTGAAGATAACTGCTTGGTTTTACAGTTCCCATAGGACTGCTGTGCTCTGTGCTAGGTCTGTGTGGTTGGTGCGAGGCCAGCTTCCTGGTTGTCATGCTGTAGTGAGCTTCATCATTCCTCAGGATGACAGGGTTGTTTGGAAATGCAGACTCCTGGGCACTTCAGGCATTCTGGGGTGCCGGCGAGCCTGGGCAACGTGTCTGTAACGATGCTACAGGTGGTACTAGAGGGCCTGACAGTCCTCAGGGCAAGGTTTCTTCTGTGACTCCCACAGACCACCTGCTGTGGGAGAGGGACTGCGCCCTTGTTGGAGACCTGGAAGTAAAGGAGATGGGGAGATGGGGTGGGGCCTTCATTGGAGGTAGCAGTTCAGATGAGAAAGTGTGGGGAGAGGGTCATGGCGAGAAATCAGCAGCTGGACTCAGTTTCCCTCAGCCTTGATCTTAGGCATCAGGGCAGGCTGGAGTAAAATCTGTGTTCTGAATCGAGTAGGAGCCAGCAAGCTGGAAAGGGAGGTGAGGGGAGTGGGGGTGTGTGTGGAGAAACCAAGTTCAGCGGGAAGTGAATGGACAGCCTCAGTGTCCTCGAGGGCAAGGACAGAGATAATGGGGGTCATGAGAAAGGTCACTAGTCCATGGGCCAATTTCCCAAATGTCTCAATTTAGATCCTGGCCTGCTTTTGACAGGTCATTGACCCTTGGAGTCACAGTGGGGCCAGCTTGTTATTGTGACTTTGAGCAACTTACTTAATTCCTGAGTCTCTCTATATAAGATAAAGTGCAAGGCTGAACACCTGTCCCCAAAGATGCTGTGTCCCAATCCCTACGCCTGTGACTATGTGAACTGACGTGATGAAAGGGACTCTGAGCCATGATGAAGTAGGGGATCTTGAGAGATGAGATTATCAAGTATGTCCACACGTAAGGCAGGCAGGAGGACCAGGCTCAGGGACGGATGAGAGGACAGCAGATCAAGGGCAGGGTTCTATGCTGCTGCTGGCTCTGACTACTGAGCAAGGGGCCAAGAGTCAAGACCATAGGCAACTACTAGAAGCTGGGGCAACAGGAAATGGTATCCTCATACTAGACCAGAAACCTCATCCAGATTTCCCTGACTCCAAAGCACAGGAAGGATGCATTTGCGTGGGAGAAGCCACTAAGCTTATGGTAACTATTGTGAGAACCCCCAGGGAACAGTCACAGGGAGAACAGGCAGAGTCCTTCTTGGGGAGAGGGGACTTCAAGGCTCACATCAGAGAAGAGCTATAGCCAAGCAAAGCTCAGTAAACAGCAGTATCTTCAACTGGGGTAAGACAGAGGTGGGGAGGGCAGGGCAGGGGAGGGCAGGGGAGGGGAGGAGTGAAAGGAAGGGAGCATCCCTCGGTGGCTGTTCCTCCTACAGCCCTCCCCTTGGGTTGGAGTGGTTGTGGGAACATCAGGGATGCTCTGAGACTGTCTGCAGTCCTGCACTCTGTCCACAGTCCTATTTCCTAACCATCAACACATGGGCTGAGATCACTTCCTGGCACTCTTTCTCTATCTCTCTGGAATTCAACCTCTGAGACCGACTTTTGGGTCACCCAACGACTCCTGTTTTCCAGAAGCCACAGACCTGGTGCTAGGCCCTAGTGGCCCCTGTGTCGCACCTCCTCTTCACTTTGGAGTAGCACTGTAGCTAGGACCTGAGCAGGGCAGAGCCCTGGAGGACTGGGTGCAGGGCCTCCCTGCTTCTGTCTGAGCACTGGAGGCTGAGCAGTGGGGGTGGACTGGCAGCCTTGCAGCCTCCCTGAAGCTGTCCCCTCTGGCTTCTCCCAGGTACGTTCGTCTCGGCCTTCACCGTGCTGTGTGGGGCCCGCACCGACCTCCCAGACAGGCACGTGTGCTGCGTCTTCTGGCTGAATATCGCTGCGGCCCTAATTCAGGTGCTCACGGCCATTGTCATGGTGGGCTGGATCATGAGCATCTTCTGGGGCATGGACATGGTCATCCTTGCCAGTGAGTAATGGCTGGTGTGCTGAGGGCAGAGAGGGGTGGGGTCTGGCCAGGGAGCTAGAGCTGTGGAGGAGCCTAGGAGGAACAGGCGACCTACACTTATCCCAAAGATGCCTGTATCCTTGGACACAGCCTCCGAGGGCACTCCAGTTCCTCTGCCCTAGGGCCATGGCCACTTGTTGCAGAGTCCTCTCTCTACCATACCAGCCCTGCAGGGTGGGTCTCCAAGGGAGGGCCCTCTCCAGCAAAGACACCACTCGCCACATTTGTCAAGGACACAGCTCTCCCACTGAACCTGAGTAAGCTTGTGAATTCAGAATGAGGCCGGCCTCTTGGCCCATGGTTGTGTGTCTGCATCACAGGTTCTAGAGGAGGAGCAAAGCCGTATACTGTCTTCACCTGCAGGAAGCCGAGTAATTGTGTTTCTCACATAGACCTGAACGACTCCTTACTGGGTTAAACTACACTCCTTGGTTGGCTGGTGCCAAAGTCTTACAAGCTCTCACTGTCTTTGAAGGTGTTAATGAATCATCCAATATGGATGCAAAATCAGCTTAGGCACAAAAGTGTTTTGTGGAAGTATATAAAGTTTCAAAATCAAATTTACCAAAGACAAATGATCATTTTAAAAATAACTTGGCAGACTCTTCAGTCAGACAACACCTGCCTGGAACAGCTGTTTCCCTGCAACTCCTTTCCTGTTCCTACCTCACTGGGTGGAGGGCCTCAGTAATTGGTGCCACACACCCCCAGTCACTTTGCTCTTTGTACCCTGTCCCTACATGCCGCTCCTCACTAGGTTTGCAGGTTGAATTGCCGGTGTATAGGGAAGCTGTGCCAGGTGAAGACCCGAGAGGCAAGAAGAGAAGCCAAGATTCAGAGGCCATAGGATGACCTAGAACAGTCTGGAAGGATCCAGAACTTCCTCAGCCTCAAATGGGGTTCCTTGGAAGATGCAGGAAACTCAGGCACACCCAATGCTAGGACCAGAGTGGGTGACTAATCAAATCACCCCACCGGAGAAGGTTCAAGTGTTAGAGCTGGGTGGGACTCCGTGTGGGTGGCTAGGGCGACAGACTTGACAGCAGGTCTTCACAGAGTTCAGAGAGCAAGTCAGTGGGCTGGACTTTCAGGGTGTCCCATAGGCAGAGTCAGGGTAGGAGGCAGCACCAGGCAGCAGTGAGGAGAAGGCCCCTTTCTGCTGGGGAGAGCCTCAGATCAAGGTGGTTCATACAGCTCACCCCAAATCTGATGGCCCCTCTACTGGATCTCACTTCCACTGTTGGCTTCCCAGGAGCCACTAGGCCACTTCCCTGGGGATGCTTGGGGCATCTGTGGGCCCCAGATCCCACTCCCAGATAGATCCTAGGAAGTTCAGCTACTCTAGAAGGCCTGGGAAGGTTATACCTCACATTCCTGGCTTCTCGGCTCTGTAAACAAGCATCCGGGTTAGTGGTGTTGGGACTCTAATAAGAGAGTTAATCTTTCTGTTACTGTAACTAATACCCAGGGTCAGTGTACCAAGAAAAATGAGTTCGATCCAGGCTTGGGTGGTCTTTTTGCTCCGAATTGTGAACAGACAGCATTTCATGAAAGGACAAAAGCCACTCACTTCATGCCTGGGAGGAGAAAGAAAGAAGAAACAAGACTCTCCAGATACCCTTCAAGGGAAAGCATCAACTATGCCCATTAGGGGTCTTCAGGGGACATACCACGTCTGCCATGACAGCAAGGAATGTACCAGACTAGGCTTCAATAAATGTGTGTTGATGCCAGATCTGATTCCTACAGCTTCCTGAATCCAGATGCTCTTTGGTCTCCCTCTGATTACTGCCCACTGAACCCAACACATGCCAGGATTACTATGTCAAAAATGAGCCCAGGATCCCAAGTAACACATCTTTAACTTGAAATGTCATGAGTTGAAGCACTGTAAGTCATCAATCTGTGCTTGTGTTTGGTCCTTCTTAATCCCTAGGAACAGGGGTCTGGTCCAAAGCCATAAGTTTAAGAGCACTCCTGTTAGCCCTAGATGAGACAGCATAGGTCTCAAGACGTGTAGATGGGGGCCCATGCCCTCCCTCCCTGCCTGTCTCCCAGGCCGGAACTCTGTAGCCTGGTGTAGGAGCTGTAATCTGGCTGTAGGATGTACAAATGTCAGTGTCTCCAGCCCAGCTCTTCCTTCCTGCCCTCTAGGCTCCTTTGTGCGTTAGTCAGCCCCTTTGGGTATCTGGGATGTATTCAGGGGTTCTGCCTTGGCACCAAATTTTTTGCCATGATTTTTTTTGGGGCTGCAGAAGATAATCAGTCCCTGCCTCCTCTTCCCAGACTGCCAATCTCAATAGCCATTGACTTTTCACTTTTAAAAGTTGCTCTCACCCTCAAAAGATGGATGGCCCCTCTCATGAGATGGGCTAGGGTTGCTCTGAGAAGCCATGTTTGAGGAGGTGTCTTGGGGTGGCCCCTTAGAAGGGAACAGCTGCAACTGATTTTGTTCCAGGAACAGTTGGGTAGAGGGTTGTTCCTCTGACATCACTCACATAAAAAACACAGGTTGGGTTGCACATGGCACCTTGGCCACCATCAAACACAGTATCAAATAAAAACTTCTGAGAAGGATCCGAGAATTGGTTGAACATAGATGCTCCATCTATAATAATAAAATAATGAGCAGCACCAGACACGGCAGCTTGTCTTGATCACTGGACAGAACTTGCAGATAATTCTTTCCATTGCTACATCAACAACAGACATTGGTACTCATTTCTGACATTTGTCTCAGCACAAGGCTCCGGGGAGCCATTACCAATCGATCTAAGATGTCTGCAAGATGTTTTCTGTCCTCAGGTCTTTCCCGAAGCAGCAGGCTTTATAAATGTGGGTCTAGTCCATAGAAAGAACTAATCATGGGCTGGGACCAGGACTGGTCAGTGCAGTATCTTTAGTTTGTCAGTCACACCTGCTTCCTCTGTACCTGTCCCTCTTCTAAATCGTCCAGAATGCACCCTGAGAGAATGGGCTGGGAGTGGGGAGTAAAGAAGAAGGAATAAAGACAGGAGCTTAGCAAGGGTGTGGGCATGGCTGAAGAGGGCACTGGGCAGACAGGGCCAGGGCTGTGTGATACAATCAATCTTTGCTGGCAGTCCCCCCTCACCTTACAGTGCCAGCTCTTTGGCTCCTGTGTTCAGACGGTTTCTCTTTCTCTCTCCTCTTCCTTCTGCTGCCTTGCATCTCTGCTGCCGCAGTCTCCCAAGGTGAGTCTGTTAGTAGATGCATACCCTCTCCCCTGTGCAGATAGCCCACCCTCTTGACTGGCTAGTGGTTAATTGCATTTTCAGCTGTTCTCTGGACAGGAGAGTGCCTAGCATAACAGGTCCCTGATGTCTCTACCATCTTTGGCTCCCTATGCCACTCTGATCACTTCTATTGCCCCTAGGCCCTTAACCATCACTGGATTGTTGGCACCCAAGATTGACAGGTGGCCCACTACATAGAAAGAGACCCAGTTGGGGCTCATGGCCTCTTCCTCTGTAGACCAAGGTAACTGGCAGAGACACAGCTTAGTCCACCCTTCCCTGCTTTCTCAGCTCTGTAATCTCACTCAATCAGATTAGTAACAATTCCCTCACACCATCAGTGGTCCAGCTCTCCCAGGAAGGGATGTGGGAGAAGCCAGGGGAGAAGAGCTAGTCAGTGCATATGAGGGCCTGGGTTTCATCTCTGACACTGGAAAACAAAAATTGCAGTATTGGCAATGATGTTCTGAAGATTCAGTGTTCTCCACCCCGTTCCTGTCCCTGCTATCCAGCTAGTTGGACATATGTCAGACAGCTGTTCCCTTCTCGGACAGCCAACCTCATCCTCCCTCCCTCCCTCCCTCCCTCTCTCCCTCCCTCCCTCCCTCCCTCCCTCCCTCCCTCCCTCCCTCCCTTCCCTCTCTCTCTTCCTCCCTCTCTCCTCCTATATAGCCTAGCCAGTAAATAGTGGATCTTTGCTGCTCCCTGTATGAATAAGGTCTTCAGGGTGTAACAAGGTCCTGTCTATTCTGGTCTGGGGCCATGTTTGTCACTCCTAAAGGGAGTGTCCCCTAACTGCCTCTCCTCCTTCCTTACAGGGTACAAGGATCAAGGTATCCCACAGCAGCTGTGAGCCTACAGGACCTGCCGGAGAAGTCCAAGGTCCTGTGTCAGCTGCACCAGGTGGCTTTGGGCACAAAGACCATCACATGTTCCCTTCTGCCACTTCTCAGATTGGGGTGGAAAGAGAGTATTTAAAAAATACCATTTATTTTGAAGAACACACCTCCTTTCTCAGCAGGGTCTGAGGCGAACTTCTCTCCCTGCTCCAGAGATGCATGGGAGCCACAGGGCCAAAACCCGAGGACTGGGCTAGAGGCGGGTTATTGACCAAGCACAGGGGTGCTGGGCAATGCTTATCCAACTGTCCACTAAACAGGCACCCAGGCCTGTCAGACTGGGCTGCTGTGGGCCCTGTGTAGGTGATGGGGTGCTCTCCCAGGCATTAGGACTTCATGGAACACTTTTACTGGGTCCTCGCCCCTTTCCCTGTATGTGCTCTGTGGCCTCCTGAGGGGCAGTATCAGGGTGGAGGTTGCAAGGTGACCACGTGGTAGCCTAGCTGTGGAGACATCCTTGGGTCCCCACAGGTGTCTGACGACACTAAAAGTTCACAGCCTTTTAGTTAATGGCTGTGTGTGTGTGACCTTTGCTTCCCAGAGGCAAGGGTGACACTCACACCTCCTCTAAGATGGCATTGCTGGAATCCCAGATGCTTGTATGTAAAATGACCAGACTGAGTTGTGAGTTGCTGCAGACCAGCAGCCTTCTTGGATGTATTTACTACTGTTTCTGGTCCCCTCCCCTTCTGACGTCCTCGTGTTTCCAGATCCAGATGGTTTGGTTTGAGGAAGGTGACGGAATCCATTCATTGCTATTTCCTAACACCAGAGCTGAGTCTGGGCTTCCCACCCACCGCCAAGCATGTGGATATCTCTAGAGAGCCTTGTGAATAGTCAGATGCCTTGGGACCCATGAAAGGTAAATACCCTGGCCTGTTCAGGCCTCCTGAGCAAGTCCCAGGGGACAGTGGAGACTCATCTGTATTTGAAGTGTGATAGGAGTAACATCGTGAGGTTGGGGACTTCAATCTGGAATTCATTTGTGCTGCAAGAAGATGCATCGTGAGGCTGAAGTTGTTGGCACAACTTGTGGACCTTTGTGGCCCTTCCAGCAGCAAACCTGGAGTGATGTACCAGTATAGAGCTAGATCCATATAGGGGGAGAAACCAACAGAAGTCAAGAGAAAGGCGATCCAAAATTACAGTGGTGGTATGGCTATTTGCATCTCTCTTCATTCTTCTTTTGGTGTAGGAAGCAGTAACATGTGGGATAGGCCCAGAGCTCAGTTCCCAGTCGCACTGGCCTTGAGCCATCAGTGGGTCCCACTTGGAGAATCTCTGCCTGTGTAGCAGAGGTTCTGTCACAGCATGGCTAGGGCTAACGAAAGGAGCTGTCCACTTTCTGCCTTGGGGGTTAGAGGCTCTTGGGAAGCTGCTCCCATTTCTCCGGGGTTCCAGTCCCTACCAGGCTTCTTAATTGCAGTCTTTGGTAACAGACCCCCCCCCCCAGACTGGACAGCCCCTGACATCATGAAGAGATGTAGACCTGTGACTACCCACTCCTGGCTCTGATTCTGGACTAGTTTTCCTGTCCTTTCCTGTGTCTACCCAGGGCTGTGTGGATTGAGTTGCACCCTTCGACACCTGCCAGGGTCCCTTCCTGTGTTTCTTTCTGTTGCTTCTGTGTGTCCCAAGCCCCTGTCGTAGGCCACCCACTCTGGCAGATCACTGTTCTCAAGGAAGCTGCATCAGGCACCAAAGCCACGGCGCAGGGGAGCGAGGGGCCAATGTGCCCTCTCATGCTGCCAACCCACAGCCCTTTACCCCACACAGCCAGTGATGACAGTGGTTGGCAAAAGCGGCTCCCAGAGTGAGAGAGAAGCCTATTTGCCTCGTTTGGACTGGGGGTGGCTACTGGAGGAGTTGAACAGAGATAGCAATTTGTATTGCTTGTTTAGTGATGTGAGCCAGACTTGAGTGGGACTTTTCTGAGTGACAAGTGTCACCATGAGTGTGGGATGGTTTAATACAGGGGTTTGCAAGCTTGGAAAATTGTCTCCCTGGCATCCCCCCCCCCAACTCCAGGTAGCTGATGTGGGTAGAATAAGGAGCTCCCAGAATAGTGAGTCCAAGGGTTACCTTTAGCTACAAACAGCAGCTCCTGGGTGAGGCATAACTTTAGCATAATTATTCTCGGACAGTGGGCAGTGTCTAATTCACTCCACATAGTCCAAGCTGGCCATTGGATCTAGGTAACCAGAATTCATTTACTATCTAGAAAGCAGAGCCATCCAGCCATAAAGTGCTTAGTGGCTACGGGACCCTTTAATGACAAAGCTGCCTAGATGGCATAGTGTATTGCGGTAAATAAGGATCAGGATAAACAAATAGGCCGAATAGATGTTTATTCAGGGAGAAATAACTTACAACCTAGACAGATGAACACCAGGAAATTCAACCCGATCCTCTCCTGTCCGAGTCACGCCAGAAAGAGAGAGTGCCTCCCTGGCCCCCTCCGACCTCCTTCCTCAGGTCCTCTCCGCCCATCGCTCCACCCCCCAATGGGCGTGGTCAGTGCTACAATAGTGTCCTGGTTTCAAAAAAGCAACATGCAAGGGGGAAGGGGTTTTGCTATTGTTTTGGTTTCTTTTTTGCTTCCATTCCAGGTGATACACAGTTTATCAAAGCCAAGGAGCCATAATGTAGGAGCTTGAACAAATGCATCCATGCCGTTTGCTCTTTTTGCACCTTAGCTAGTTTTATGTAAACTTACAAAGTCCCTGACCACGGTACCTCCCACATTCGGAGTGGATTGTTCAATTAACAATCTTTCAACTAACAATTAAGATAATCCTCCACACGCATGCCCACAGGCCGATCTGATCTAAATAATTCCTCCTTAAGACATTTCCCAGGTGATTCTAGGTTTTGTCAAGTTAAAACTAAGCAGCGGTGTGTAGTATATTGTGGACAATATACTACCCCTGGGACCCCTGGGATTGCGGACTGTGGCCACTACGGTGTTACCCACCCCCAGCCTCAGACTGACCAATCTGCTGTCTTTGCCTGGTTCAAGTCTCTGGCTCCACTGGAGAGAAGAGAAGGAAGAGTGTCAAGGGCATGGTCTGCTCCCTGCCCCCAGGGCCCAGACCTGCCTTGGCAATCAGCCTGCACAGTAACTTGGCCCAGGTGCTGCCTAGAGCAGTTCTTATCCCACTGTTCTGTGAGCTGCCGTGGGCAGAGGCTTAGTTAAGCTTTCCCACAGTGAGGGAAAGCAGAGGCACCTCCCTCAGACACATGCCCCTCAAGAGTCCCAGGGAGGGATAATGAACCTCTTCTGAAGGCAGTGTTTCCTGCTGCATTCCTGGATCCTTGACCTCACCTCATCTGCCCTCAAAGCCATGCCCCTGGCCTCTGCAGGCCCCTTATGGAGGGTGGAAGCAGATGGCAGGTGGAGACAGTTGGTTCTGAGAGCTGCCTGGCTCATGGGATCCAGTTCCTGCTTTCCCTCACAGAGCCATGGGGTGTAGAATGCTGGGGGGCTGGGGAGCTGAGAGGGCAACTAAGTTAAAGGACACATAGAAAATGAGCCACATGGCTAGCATGTCCCCCAGACAGAAAAGGACCAAGGTGTGCAAAAGAGAGTCACATCTATACATCATCTCAAACACTGGGTCTCAGACCAGCATACAATGGCTGAAACCCCAAGACCAGAAGAATCCCCCTAAAGGCCCCTAAAGGGGGAAAGCAAAGCTGGATGACAGTGGCCCGTTTACCCTAAGATGCAAAACACAATCATCTTTCTCTAAGTCTTCTTTACTGCTCTCTTCCCGCAGGGCAGGGTGCTGTTAGTGGCAACGGTTCTGGGCAGGTCCTTCTCATACCTTCTGGGTCATAGTCTAGCTCTGTTGTAGGGATCAGAGGGGAGCTTTGGGAAACCCCCAGCCTCACTAGTCATGGCTTCCCAGAGGCTGACCTCCTCTGTAGTTTGGGAGGCTTTGGGCTTAGAGAACAAACTATAGTCACTCCACTTACTCCAGGGCAGAAGCGCACCCAGTACAAACCAAGGTTTCCCCCTAGTGGGAACAGGGAGCCAGGACGCCATCTGTGGGCCTGGGGGTGGGGTCCCCTGGCCCAGCTATGGGTTCTACAGTTAGTAAATGTTCCTGCAGAACTAAAAATGCTCAGGTCCTGAGCTCAGATGGAAGGTGCCCTTCACGCCACACCCCTGCAGTAATCAGCTTCTATCAGTGACAGCAAGGTCCTTTCTTCAAGGGCCAGATGCTCTACATCCTTCTAGAGAGTGACATAGAGTTGTGACGAGGCCAGCTGAGTGGTGAGGGAGAGGCTCAGAGCCTACGATCTCCCTCTTCCTGTCAGCTTTTGAGATCTTCTGAATGTCACTGGGGTCACAGAGGCCAGGTGTGATTCCACTCAGAGCATGACCCACCCTTAATCCCATAATGCACCAAGACAGAATCAATCGCAACCCGAGTGGTTCCGAGTACTCTCCATTTATGTCCAGGGACGACTATGGTCTAACTTCACCCAGGGCCCTCCAGCTGCCTTGTTGTCTTCAGTATAGGAATAAAATCAGACCTTCATTGCTCCCAATCCTGCCAGAGCCAAGGGTTTAGAGAAACCCGGGACCACTCAGGCAGGGGAGGTGTGTTGACCTCACTACTCACAAAGGCTGGCAGCCCAGATTCTTCCCAGCAAAACAAACACTGGTCCAGCATGTCACAACCCCCCAGGGGGAGTGACCTTTCCTGGGGAGACACAGAGAAGTGCCTCTTTGCCCCAGATAGGTCACCAAAGGTCTAAAGGAATGATTCCGCCAAAGTTAAGTCTGGGACCCAGAGAGTATATGCAGTTACTTACTGGAGTGTGGTGACTTTTGGTAAGCTGTATCACAGAAAAGCCACACCCCAGCATAGGTGACAACTCAAGAAAGCTCTGTCACACCCATCAGTCAGTCACCCCTCCCGGACTCATCCCCAGGTACACAGGTTCCCCTCTCTTCTGGGGGCTCAGTATCCCCACTGAACCAAATCCAGACCCACTGAAGTCCCCCAGAGTCCTCCGGTGTGGGAGTGGTGAGGAGGGGCCGTGACCTCTTCCTGGGGCTCTCCTGGGACCTCAGGCAGGACTTTTCTTTTCTACACTGCCTGCCTCAGCCCAGGAGCCAGCAAGGAGTAAAAGAGGAGGGAGGTTTGGAGCAGCGAGAGAGACAACAGGGCTTGTGACAAACTTCT